GGATTTATGGAAGGGGGTTTATGGGAGGGAATTTATGGAAGGGGGTATATGGAAGGGGATTTATGGAAGGGGGTTTATGAAAGGGGGTATATGGAAGGGGATTTATGGAAGGGGGGATATGGAAGGTGAGCTGTGCTTTGCCAAAGGTCATCAAGAAAAGAAATACTTTGTAATTCAAGAAACAAAAAAGCTGCAACAGCACCAGAGGCTGGAGTGTTGTAGGAGGGTGATTAATACTGGGAGTCCATCCCTGCTCACCAGGGGCCTAATTAGGCAGCTGAAGGCAGCCTTAATTTCTGGTATTTTCAAACTTTTGCATTTTTGACTGTGCATTTCTGCTAATGAGCACAAAATAGGGGCTGGGCCTGTGTGCAGTGGCTCCTGCCCCAGCAGCTCTGCAGGGCTCTCTGTGCTGGCCAGGGAGGGAATGAGCTGTGAAATGGGGCTGAAGCTGCTGCCAAAATCCAGAAAACTCCATTTTAATCACACAATCAGGGAATCAGAAAGGCTGGGAAAGGCCTCCAAGATCATCAAGTTCAATTTTTGACCAAATCACGCAATGGTTTGGGTCGGAAGGACCCTAAAACTCATCTTGTCCCACCCCCTGCCACGGGCAGGGACACCTTCCACCAGCCCAGGGAGCTCAGAGCCACATCCAGCCTGGCCTTGGGCAATTCCAGCAAAAATACCCCTATTCCCACTAAACCACATCATGGAGTGCCACATCCACTTGTTGTTTTATCACTTCCAAGGATGGTGACTTGGATAAAACCCACTTGGCTCTTCCCAAGGTGGTCCCAAATTTCCCTCTGTTTGAGCTTTGTGCCCACCCAGGGGTTCTGTGTGCACACAACGACTTTGTTCCAGATCATGAAATCCTGGAGTGGTTTGGGTGGGAAGGGACCTTAAAAATCACCTCGTTCCAGCCCCTGCCATGGGCAGGGACACCTTCCAGAGCCCAGGCTGCTCAGAGCCACATCCAACCTGGCCTTGGGCACTTCCAGGGAAAAACACTTCCAGAAAAAATACACTAATTCCTGCTAAACTGCATCATGGAATGCCACATCCACTGGTTTTTTTATCACTTCCTAGGATGGTGACTCCACCACTGCCCTGGGCAGCTCATTCCAGGGCTTACCCACCCTTCCATGTGCCCTTTCCCTTTGGGATTTGCTGAGTTTTTCCTGTAGGATTTCTGCTCCCAGTGCTCACCCTGGAGCTGGGAGCTTTGGGCTTGAAAAATCCACTCTCAAGTGGTTTTAGGTGGTTTTTGGGTTTTTTTTTTCAAACTGTCTTTAAAAACCTGGTTAAAAAAAGTTCCGATCTTTATGATTTCTTTGATGGATGCAGTACCAAGAGGGGAAGGAACAAGCTCAGGGCAAAGCAGGGAAGTGGAAACAGGAAAATGTTGGAGTTCATTGTGCTGAGGGGCTGAGCCATCCTTAAAAAGCTGTTTTCCATCTCCCAGCTCCTCGTGGAGTCGCTTTTGGAGTAAAAGCCAAGGCTGGAGCTGCATCCCAAGGCTGTAACAAAGGGATGCACTGAGCCACGGGTGGGAATTTTTTTTGCAAAGCCTTCCCTGTCTACTGGGTGTGATAACAGCAAAAACCAGCTGGCAGAGAAACTCCTCCAGCAGAGCCCAGGATGATCCTTGAGGGGGAAAAAAGAAATCTTGGAAAAAGACTTGGGGTTTTTGAACCAAGAAACTCTCCTGCCTTTTAATCCTTGCGAGTTCCTGAGGCAGGAGGGAGCTGCACGTCCCTCCTCTTAAAAATGTTGCTGCTGTTTTCCATTGATTTCCCTTCCCTCCCATCATCAGCAAATTCAAGA